GGAAAAACCATGGTCCGCGCCATGAAATCCACCCCCCCCTAGTCATCACCCCCCTCTTTTCCGCTCCCGATCAATACGGGTCCCGGGAAATTCCAACCTTTTCCCCGGGGCTGGCTTCTCATCCCGAATCGCTCTTTGACGGTCCCGGGAAGCCCGGCCAGGGCCCAGCGAGAGGCCCCCCAGAGGCCGAGACTACAGGGACAAAAATTCTGCCATGCCACCTTCAAGACGCGAGCATGTCTGGGCTTCCCTCCCCCTGTGCCTGATGTCACCCGTATCTGAAGGGGCCCCAGGACACACAAATAAATACACACAAATAAAAATGTTCCCCATATTTTCCCATATTTTCTGGGTTTTTGTCTTCCCCCCCACTTCCCATATTTTCCCATATTTTCTAGGGGAGTCGACGATTAATTGTGTCTGTGTGCTTTTTTCCCTCCTGAGTATCATCCTCATCCTCATCTTTAGAATCATCATCGTCATACATATCATGATCGCACCAGCCAAACATACATAAACGATGAAACGATACAACCCGAAGCTATCGAGACATAACCAGACACACCTAGACAGAACAGACATGAACATCTTTCCTGACTTTCTGGGTGGAAGGTCCGGAAGAAAGAGGGCGTGGGAAACATGCCTGGGTCCTCCTCGCCTTGCGGGCAAGATTTGCATTAACCGGTCGCTGCGCCCCCAGGACAAACATAGAGGCGTAGATGCTGCTGAGACACGCCTGGCCTCCTGGAGGCCAGGCTGTTGATGCACGACCACTGCGCCTCGGCCCTTTGGCGCCCCTGCCCAGAAAGCCCGAGACGCACAAGGGCACACAAATAAATGCACATAAATAAATTGATTCCCCATATTGTCCTACATTTTCTGGTTTTCTGTCTTCCCGCCCAATTCCAATACTTTCCTATATTTTCTCGGGGGTCGACGACGAATTGTGTCTGTCTGTTTTCCCCCCCCCTGAAAAGGTACCGATCCCGCGGCTCCCGGGACCTCCCCCAGGGCGCGTCCTGGCCAGAATTCCGAGGCGCACCCAGCCGTGGCGACGAGGGCCTCTCCCAGGAGGCCCAAAAAGGCGACGACGCGGCGAGGGCAGCGGCAGGGGTACCTGTTCCCCCCCGTGGAGGCAAATTGCTACTGGGAGGTCTTCGTCGGAAAGATCAAAGAGAAGTAAGCGCCATTGGGTGGCTGTTGCGCCAAATTAGGCCGCGGATTCAACGGGAATGAGCCGAATTGAGCGAGATTCAGCCGGATGAAGCGGGATCAAGCCGGATTAAGCCATATGTCGGGCCAGGAAAAGTCAGAAGTTGACTTCCCAGGAGTTGCCTCCGACCTCCGAACCTCCCCCCTGAGAATTGCCCTCCCCTCGCACCTGATGGGGCTCTTGCCCATCACGTCGGTCCAGTTCGTGCACAGGCCCCGGTCGCGCGGGTGCCCCGGACAGCATCGGGCCAACCACGGCGCGCACTCCTGCGCGGTGAGGCCCCAGCTCATTATCCAGAGCCTCGCTGGCCGGCCACGGCTGGAGGTAGACGTCGGTGTCTGTTCCACGGGAGCCCACGTGGCCCAAGGGGATGCAATATAAACACCCAACTCGTGTTTTGTCCGCAGCCCCTTGTTCAGCCCATGCGTTTCTGTCCGCATCCCCTTGACCAGCCCGCGTGTTTTTGCGTGTATGTATACATATATATATATATATATATATATGTGTGTGTGTGTGTTTGTGTGTGTTTGTGTGTGTTTGTGTGCGTGCGTGTGTGCGTGTGTGAGAGAATGTGTGAGAGCGTGTGAGAGTGTGTTATTTGTTCCGCATCCCCTTGTGCGTTTTTGTCCGCATCCCCCCTGTGGAGCTCTTGGTGTCTGCTCTCCACGTGCCCCCCGGCGCTGTCCGCTTTGGGCTAGACTCGGATCGGATTTGGAACACATATTGGGACAGGATTTAGACCAGATTCGCCTCCTCCCAAGGGAGACGGGAAGAACGAGGAGGGGGCGGAGGAACAGCAGGGGCGAGGATGAGCAGGAGGAGGGCCAAATGCGGTGCAAGTGGGGTCCGAATGCGGGAACCGCTGACTTCGGTGTCGCCGCCCAAGGCCCACATGAGCAGACATCGAAGCTGGGGGAGCTGGGTTTCTCACCCTGGAGAGAGCGAAAACCAACTGCAGACCTGCTCGCGTCGTGAAGGAATCATGACAGGTTTAGGGTTTAGGGTTTAGGGTCCACGAGCCCAAACTCGCAGCCTGTTGGACGTGTCCCACCCACCCATGACCCAAGACATATTGATCTCAAAACGGCGACGGCATTGTCTCCACACCGTGCCGCTGGCGCTGGGCCGAGCCCTCCACCGCGTCACGGCGGAATCGTAGCGATGCGTTGAGACCCGGCTTGCGCCGCTCACCACCGCCGCCCACCGCGGCGCCCCCAGAAAAGCGTCGACGAGGCGCAGCTGCGCCTTCCTCCGGGGGCTTCTCGGCGAGAGGCTCCCGAGGGAGGGGGGCTTCTGGGCGGCCGTGGTCGTCCTGCCGCGCTGGCTCCGTGGCGCTTGAGCGCGCCGCGGAGTGTCAGCGCGACGGGGCGGCCATAGCCGCTCGGAAACCCAGGGGGCCATGTCCAGCCTCCACGGGGCGGTCCCTGGGGAAGGGCACGGGGGCGGCGCTCAACCCGAAAGGGTCGAGGTCGCGCCCGTACCTTTCGCAAAGATCTAACGACGCCATGTCTGGCATTCCGATGCCAGCATCTCCTCCCAGAACGCCATTCCTGGCACTCTGAGGCCAAGAATCTGCGTGAGGGGTGCGCCGAAATGGGGGGCGGCATAAAGGGCGCGGAAGGGCGTCCGTGAGAGCTTCAGGATTTAAATATTACCCCAGTGCGACCCTACCTAGGAGTTGGAACCCCTAGGAAAGCCGCATTAGTAGTAACAGTAACGCTAAGCTAAAGCTAAGCTAAAGCTAAGCTAAAGCTAAGCTAAAGCTAAGCTAAAGCTAAAGCTAAGCCAAAGCTAAGCTAAAGTTAAGCTAAAGCTAAGCTAATGCTAAGCTAAAGCTAAGCTAAATATAAGCTAAAGCTAAGCTAAAGCTGAGCAACAGCTAAGCTACAGCTAAGATACAGTTAAGCTAAAGCTAAGCTAACGCTAAGCTAAAGCTAAGCTGCTCAAGCTAAGCTAAAGCTGAGCTAAAGCTAAGCTAAAGCTAAGCTAAACGCTAAGCGAAAAGCTAAGCGAAACGCTAAGCTACAGCTAAGCTAAAGCTAAGTTAAAGCTAAAGCTAAAGCTAAAGCTAAAGTTCCCAGGGGACTGGGGGGAACCGCTCCCAGGGGACTGGGGGAACCGCCCGGGGCGTGTTCCACTGCCCGGCCCCTTTAAGCTAAGAGAGTAAGAACCCTTCTAGGCAGAGCCTAGGTAGGGAATTTATAGGCTCTTAAGTCTTATGGCCTCTGGGGGCCCTCGCCAGGACCAAGGACCGTCGGAAATCGACTCGGGATGCAAAGCTGGTCCTGGTGAACGTGTCGGGACGTTCGGGGGCATCGTATTGGAAAGAATAGGACATCGCGTGTCTGGGACCGCGTTGAGGGGGGGGGATCAAGGCCTGTGGGGCCACATCCTGGGGGCTCCAGGACTATAGAAATTATCCCAGTGCGACCCTACCTAGGAGTTGGAACCCCTAGGAAAGCAGCATTTGTAGTAACAGTAACGCTAAGCTAAAGCTAAGCTAAAGCTAAGCTAAAGCTAAGCTAAAGCTAAGCCACAGCTAAGCTAAAGCTAAGCTAAAGCTAAAGCTAAGCTAAAGCTAAGCAAAAGTTAAGCTAAAGCTAAGCTAAAGCTAAGCTAAAGCTAAGCTAAATATAAGCTAAAGCTAAGCTAAAGCTAAGCTAAAGCTAAGCTAAAGCTGAGCAAGAGCTAAGCTAAAGCTAAGCTAAAGCTAAGCTCAAGCTAAACTAAAGCTAAGCTACAGCTAAACTACAGCTAAGCTAAAGCTAAGCTAAAGCTAAGCTAAAGCTAAGCTAAAGCTAAACGCTAAGCGAAAAGCTAAGCGAAACGCTAAGCTAAAGCTAAGCTACAACTAAGCTAAAGCTAAGCTAAAGCAAAGCTAAAACTAAAACTAAAACTAAAGCTAAAACTCCCAGGGAACTGGGGGGAACCGCTCCCAGGGGACTCGGGGAACCGCCCGGGGCGCTTTCCACTGCCCGGCCCCTTTAAGCTAAGAGAGTAAGAACCCTTCTAGGCAGAGCCTAGGTAGGGAATAAAAAGATACGCGTGCCGCTGCTCCACTGACCTCCCCTGGAGGGCGTTCAGATCAGGCGTTCGAGGCGAATCTGGCCGTGGCGATGAGCGAAGGGTGGCGGTGTTGGTACCTGTTCCTCCTCTGATAGGGAGCCGCTGCTCCACTGACCTCCCCTGGAGGGCGTTCAGATCAGGCGTTCGAGGCGAACCTGGCCGTGGCCGTGGCAATGAGCGAAGGATGGCGGTGTCGGTACCCTTTCCCTCCTCTGATAGGGAAAGCGCACGAGGACGCGCGCGCCGAAGTACGTACATGAAGGGGCCCTGCGACACACACACATACACATATAATACACATCAAAAACAGGATTCACCATGATTTCCCATATTTTCTGCGTTTCTGTCTTCCCCCCCACTCCCCATGTTTTCCAATACTTTCTGGGGAATCGACGATTAATTGTGTCTGTTTTTTTTCCTCTCCTGAAGTACGGACATGGATACGTGCACCGCGAGCGGACCATGCCGCTGCGGTCCTCCGGCCCAGACAGCACGAGAGACCAATCCAAGCCGCGAGACCTTCGACGCTAGCGTTAAGTCGGGCCTGTCCCATTACAGGGGGATGTTGGGCGACAAAGTAGAAATACCCCAAACATACACCAACAAATACATGAAACATACACCAAACATCGTCCCGAGATTATGTTTGGCCTATTTTTAAATAGTTCTCCTGTAGAGGGACAGGCCCGACCTAACGCTAACACACGATTCATTCCCCATGTCACGGATGCGAACTGTGGTAAAAGACTGGGGATTCATGTGCGTACGTCGACGACAACTTCCCGCTTCTCCTCTGAACAGGCCACGGCTCCCCCCGGCCGTGGCTGGCCTGCCTCGTCAGCAGCAGCCCGAGCGCCGCCGGGAAGACAGACAGGCTGAGGGCGTGCGAGAAGTCGGACGGCAGCCTCAGCAGACTCAACGGGCCGAGCCAGAGGTCGAGCTCCTGCTCGGCGGCTCCGAATGGTGTGTCGGGGGGTCCGAAAGGGAGGGATAGCCAAGGGCACGGTAGAGAATCAGCTCACGTAGCTGGCTCCGTGGCGCCTCCTGGCGCCCGGAGGCGCCCATGTATCGAGGACTGGGCCCGGCGGCGGGGCCGAAACCAGCGGGATGCAGCAGATTTCGCAATCATTCGCAATTCACCCCTTCCCCTATCCTACCCTTCCGTCCGGCCCGAGTGTGGTTTGCCTGGGGTGTGGTTAGCAACGCGCACCTTTTGGGGCGGGCGAGGACTCGACACAGTTTCTCCGCCGCGCCCCGAGGATGCCCGACGAGGGCAACGTGGCGCTGCCTCAAGCCCCAACCTGGCGGCGCGCAGAGGGGGGTACGGTCAGACTTGATTGGAGAGGACACGCGAGAGGACGCAAGACCCTTCCGAGGGCCAAGTTGCCACAGAATGTAGGAGGCATGGGTCGCTAGACACAGGACACGAAGGCACCCTTGATCTGACAGGGTCGACCTACTAACCCGGGCATACTGTAGGGGGAGGGGGAAGACTTCTTAGAAGGAGGTTGCGTATTAGAAGGCGCGGGCATTACTGAAGGGGCCCCAGGACACACAAATAAATACACACAAATAAAAATGTCCCCCATATTTTCCCATATTTTCTGGGTTTCTGTCTTCCCCCCCACTTCCCATATTTTCCAATATTTTCTGGGGAATCGAGGATTAATTGTGTCTGTGTGTTTTTTCCTCTCCTGAATTACATCTACAGACGACAAGGCCCGCGCTTTCGAACAGGGTGCTTCTAAGACCCCTCCTGGCGTGGCCCACCAACGACGACGAGACCAAGCCACAGCCCAACGTCCGAGGCACGCCCTATGTGCCGTCGCCGGCTCCTGCTCGGCGAAGCGGTCGCGGAACCCCGGCCACGGGGCCAGGCCCGTGGCCAGCAGGAAGAGCGCGAGGTACGCCAGGAACTGCACGAAGTTCGGGGGTGGACAGAACCCCCAACAGTGACACGTCGATTAGTGAATTGTCCGTTTTCGGTTTTCGAGTGGGCGCCGTGGCCGTTATTTTCCAGGCTTGCGCCCGCCAGGTTTGGGCCCGAAGTCGTTTTCACTAAACCACGTTTTACTAAAGGGAGGTCTGTCCATCCCCGAGAAGTAGCGCTGATTGCGCTGCCCGACGCAGTTGCTGATCCTGGAGGGGCAGTGCATAGGCATCTATAAAAACCTTCGGAGCCCCCTGCGGGGTTCTCTCGGATCGGGGCCGGGCGTCCTCGGGGGCGGCGCCGGAGGCGCCGCCACTGGGCCTGGCGCGAACCCACGACATTCGCGCGGGGCTCCGGGCGCTTAGGCTTACTCGATAATCGCTCTCTCTCTCTCTCTCTGATTTCTCTCTCTCTCTCTCTTTCTCTCTTTCTCTCTTTCTCTCTTTCTCTCTCTCTCTTTCTCTCTCTCTCTCTCTCTCTCCGAGGTCCACATTGAGTGGTGGTCGAAGCGGAGGACGCACACGCCGCACACGCGGCAGTGGTGCGACCTGGGAGGCCTGTACTGCCTTAGGAGGCAACTACTGGGAGGTCTGCGACGGAAGGATTAGGAAGAGTTGAGCCCCATTGGGGGACTGCTACGCTGGATTAGGCCACGGATTAAGCAGGATGAGCCCAGATTAAGCAGGATTAGGCCAGATTAGGCTGGACCAAGCTGGGTTAAGCCAGATTTCGGACCAGGGCAGGGTCAGAATTTGACCTCCCAGAAGTTGCATCCGAAACTGCCTGCAGCTGCCGCAGAAGCCCCAGGCCTCCTCTGTGGGCGTGCCGGGGCACAACGCCTGCCACTGCTGAATCGCCCTCTCCACCTCTGGCTCGACGACGCCAGGATCGGCGAGCACGGCCCTGGCGTACGACCAATACATCAGCACTGCGCACGAGACGTACAGCGCCATGGCGGCGACGAGGTACCGCAAATCGTCGTCCTCGCCGCCCGGGAAGCCCGAGTCGTCGGAAGAGGTAGCCAACAAAAATGCAGTAGCAAGGCGGATGAAGCAGATTGGATTCAGGCCCTCCCAGGAGAGCAACACAACACAGCAAAAGCAGATCGAGTCTTGAAGTGGGAAAGCGCTTGAATCGGGCCGGGCGGGAGGGGGGGATAGCAAAGGGGGGGGGTGAGCATCAGCTCGCGTAGCTGATTTTCCCGGCGCCTCCCGGCGCCGGAGGCGCCCATGTATCGAGGAATGGGCCCGGCGGCGGGGCGGAAACCAGCTGCATGCAACATATTTCGTAACCCCCCCTTTCCCTATCCCCCTCTTTTGTTCGGCCCGGTTGAAGTACAGTCGACCCGTATCATAAGGACACACGACAAGGATGCACGGGCCTTGGAGGGCCGTTTCGAAGCCTTTCGAGCGGGGCGCGGCCAACGAAAGTGGCCAAGGACGGACCGAGGAGGCAAGGATGCAGGATGCAGCAGTACCCTTGGGATAATTGCCCATTCTTACCATGCGGGTTGGCTGTCGATGAGTATCTGGGCATTCCCCCAACAACAATTCTTTCGACCACCGACGGGTACCGCCAGGGTGATCCGCGGCCGCTGGCCCGGGCCGCCTGCACCGGCGGCGGGTGACCGGCCGTGCGGTGACGTCCACCCCCCCCCCCAAAAAAAAGACCTCACCGCACGGTTCGGAATTGAACATCTTCAATAATTCAATCTGGAGTTCCAAACTCAACTATTGGTCGGGATTCCACCTGAGTTCAATTCCCTAGTTAGAGTATCAATATTGAGCGTCGTTTTGAGAAACAATTCTCAATAAGTGAGTTGGACAAGCCACGGATCGGTAACACAAGACCTCACCGCACGGTCCGTCCCCGCAAGGCGTTGGAACCTCGGAGGCCCCGATCGCCGGCGGCATCCTCGGATGGCGCTCCCCGAGGCCCAAAGACGGGGCGGCCTTCCCGAGGCCCCACCGACTCACCCCACGGCGTGGTCACCGCGCCGCTGTGGGGGGCCACACGGCAGGTGGCTCGGGCTCCCCGGGGAAGGCGGGAGCCAGGAAGGACCAGGAGGCGGACGAGCAGCCGGACATGATGAGGGCTTGCTGTTGGTACTTATTCAAAGAGGCTCAGGGACACACAAATGAATAGACAGACATTCCCAGGATTCCCCATACTCTCCCATCGTTTCTGGAGTCTCGTCGTCACCCCCCCTTCCCATATCTTCCCATATTCTGCTGGGAATCGACGATCCGTTGTGTTTGTGTTTTTTTTTCTTCTAAGTATTGGGGCCCCGCTCGGGGCCGTCGGAAGGCGCCCCGAGACGCAGAAGGAGGAGCGGCTGGCGCTGCTCCCAACTGGCGTGGCCTCAGCCCCCACCCGCCCGCCTTGCCCACCTATGGGAGGGGATAACTGGGTGCGTGCTCCCTCGGGCGGGGGCCTTCGTGTCCCCACCCTGGGAGGGTGGGCTTAGTGGGGCCGTGACACCATGGCCCACCGGGTAAAGGGGCCGACGGGGCACACAAGTGAAGACACACACACACACACACACATCTCGGCATGTCCCATATGGTCGCATCTACTTCCTGGGTCCCTTGTCTCCCCCCCCACTTCCCAGCATTTCCTGGGAGAGCCGACGATTCATTGTGTCTGTCTGTGTCTGTGTGTGTTGACTCCCCTCCTGAGGTATGTATAGGTTGGGCAAGGCTGAGATTCACGTGCAGGAGCAGCAGCAGAGCAGGGGCAGCAGCGGCGGGGGCGAGGGGACGAGAGCGGAGGTGCCCCCGGAGGGGGGGGCTCGGAGGGGAGGGCCGCCGCGTCGAGATCCGCCGCCGCCCTCGCCGTCCGCGAGGAGGCGAAGACACGCAAATGAATAGACACAAACTCCCAGGAGTCCCCATATTTTCCCATGGTTTCTGGAGTCTCGTCGTCACCCCCACTTCCCATATCTTCCCATATTCTTCGACGATTCGCTGTGTCTGTGTTTTTCTCCCCCCTGCTTGTTGGCGCCACGACTCGGAGGAGGAAACAAACGCATAAGCATAAACCGTTGGCGCTCCGCGCGGGTCTCCTGGCTCTGCGCTGGGCGCGCAGGGCGCGCCACGGGCGGGGCCCCAGCGAAGATCCGAGAGATCCGCGCGGAGAGTCAAACCTTGATTTCTATGGCTGTTGCTTGTTCCTCTCACGATGCAGGAACCCCCGAAGGCTCGACGACCTCCCTGCCCGGGCACCGGCTTGCGGGGATCGGGCCAGGCAAGTCCGGGTAGATCCATGTATCTCCAGGGGGGTCTGGATCGTGGACGCCCCTGCGCGAGTGCCCTCATCGAAAGAAGACTCACTAGCATGAAAACACACTTTCGGAGGTCCGCGCAGACTTCTTGCGTCGGCGCTGGGACGCAACCCGATAACATCATACTAGGCCGGACAAAAGCGGGACTATGCCGAAGCAGGTTTCGACCACGGATATACAAGCACCGTCAAGAGAGCCCATAGTCGAATCGATTAAATCGGATCGGCGATCGAGATGAATCGGATCGGCGACGATCGGCAGCCGAGTCGGCCAAAATCGACATCGGCAAGAATCGAATCGGCGGCATCGGAGCCCGAGTCGGTATCCCGAATCGAATCGAGTCGGAATCGGAAACCATCGAAGTCGAATCGAATCGAATCGGACGAATCGCAACGAGCCCTACACCGATGCGGAACTCAATCTCCTGGGCTGCATCCTGAGAGCCAGTGGTGTCGTGCCGCCGCCTCCTGCCACATGCCGCTCGAGGCCTCTCCACACGCCACCCCGGGGCTCGCCATGGGGAGGCCCTGCTTGTGTCGGGGGCGCGCAAACATGGATTGGCGATCCATGGACCTGGCCCAGATCTGGCTCGCGGTCGCCAAATCCATGGATCGGGGGAGGCGCCCTCCCCAAAATGCGGCCGGTGCCGCCTCGTTCGGCTGGGGAAATCCGCGATTTCCACTGGAAACGGAACCCGTCGCTAATCCACGCCCCCTTGATCCATATTTGCGATCGACTGATTGTGGCGCTGGTGCTGCCCCTCCTCACTCCGACCCGTCGTGGCCTCCTCCGCCGCCGCCTGCCCCGTCGCCCTTGTCGTTGTCTTCGTCGCCGCCGCCGTCCTCGCCGTCGCGGGGGCGGAGGCCGCCGCCGCCGCCGTCGCCTACGTTCTCGCCGCCCTCGTCGCTGCCGCCGCCGCCGCCCTCGTCGGCGCCGCATCGGCGGCCGCCCTCGTCGCGGTTGCCGCAAGCGTTCGCCGCCTCTCGTCCTGGCCGTCGCCGTCGCCAGCTCGGCTGCGGCTGCGGGGGGCGGCTGGATGGGGAGCGGGCTCGCGCGCTCCTGGCAGCCGGGAAGCCCGAGCCACCGCCTTGCGCAAGGGGGGGCGTCGCCGTCGCCGTACCCATCGACGTCGTCGTCATCGACGTCATCTGGCACTGACACTGGCACGCCATCCGCGAGGAGGGGCTGGGCTGACACTGACATCGGTCAGGCTTTCTGGGCGGTGGTGAGATGTAGACGGGACGCCTCTGGGCAAAGGCGTCCACAACTCCCCCCTCCACCCCCATCCCACACCCACACACCACACATACCCACCACACACACAAACACAAACACCACAAACACATACACACACACACACACGCACACACACACGCACACGCACACGCACACGCACGTACACGCACGGACATGCACGCGCACACATACACACACACACACTTCGTCAGGAACACTTCGTCAGCAAAACATGCGCAAACACAAACAAACACAGACACACAAACACCCACCGTCCATTGAGCCCAGGGTGCAACGACTGGCGTAGGGGGTGCCGACGCCATAAGCTAAGACGGCGGGAACGCAGCGTGCTAAGCCCTTTCGGGGCCTCCCTTCAAAGTCCATCGCCGTCGTCGCCGCCGTCGCTACGGACGCCATCGTCCCGTTCGTCGTCGCCGTGGCCGTGGCCATGGCCGCCACCGTCGCTGTTATCGCCGTCGTCGCCGTCGTTGTCGTGATCGTTGCTCGGGGCTCCGACGCCTCAGACAGGCGGCCACGCCCCAGGCCTCGAGGTGGCTCCAAAATGGCCCACGGGAACAATAAGAGGGGCCGCCAAACACGGCCCCGAAAAAGCCTCAAGAGCGTTGAACAACATATCCCAGGAAGGATCCAAGAAACAACTGCACGTGCTCTAGAGGGGTGGTGCTGCTTCACGCGGCCATTTTCTCGGCATGTCGGACGTCCATTCCTTGTGCACGTTTCGCTTTCGTGTACGTATTTTAAGGGGCCGAACTCTATACACCGACGCTTTTTCCGGCACCGCACTTAAACTCGCACAGGAAAGCGGATCCTGGTGTATACGGGATCCTGGCTGGTGTACACATGTCTCGTTGCCTCCCCGGGAAAACGAGGAACAACTAATACACCACACCACCCCGACGTCGTTTCCCGACCAACAAGAAGTCCTGGGATTGAGAACCGGCTGCCACTGGTAATGTATATGCTCCAAATTTAAATGTTCTGCGCATGGTGAACGAACATGATCCCCGATGGTCCTCGCCCCAAAAAAAACGCACACGTCCGAGCGATGCTAAGTCCCACCAGCCCTTTGGGCGTGAGTGGTTTAGGGAGCTCTCTCTGTCCTCAACCCCCCTTCTTCCCCTTCGGGGAGGGGTTTACCCCCCCACTACCCCTTCCCCCTGGGCCTGGAGAGGGGGTCCGGCGGGTCGTCAGGGGGGTCAATTTCGACTCCCGGGAGGGCTAAAGAACGACACCCAACACGAGGATTCTGCCCCCGACGGGGGGACCGAGAAAAAACCCTCTCCTCTTCTTTGAAGCCAAAATCATTAATTTTACTACGGTTTCGGCCCCATTTTGGCCTTCTGAGGGGGCAGCGCTCCTCTTCCTTGATATCAAAATCGTTGATTTTACGAAGGTTTTGGGCTCATTTTGTCCTTCTCAGGGGGTAGCGCTCATTTGCGCTTCTGAGGAGGTCGCAAGAGGCCCCAAGATGGCCCCAAGAGGCCCCCAGGAGGCTCCCAAGAGGCCTCCAAGAGGCCCCCAAGAGGCCCCAAGAGGCCCCCCCCCAAGAGGCCCCCAAGAGGCCCCCAAGAGGCCCCCAAGAGGCCCCAAGAGAGCCCCCAAGAGGCCCCCAAGAGGCCCCCAAGAGGCCCCCAAGAGGCCCCAAGAGGCCCCCAAGAGGCCCCCAAGAGGCCCCACGAGGAGCCCGAACGACTCACACCAGGACGAGGGGCCCGAACGACTCACACCACGAAGAGCCCGAACGACTCACACCACAAGGAGGGGCCCGAACGACTCACACCAGGACGAGGCGCCCGAACGACTCACACCACGAGGAGCCCGAACGACTCACACCACGACGCGGGCCTCGAACGACTCACACCACGAGGAGCCCGAACGAGTCACACCAGGAGGAGGGGCAGCGCTCATACAAGCCCCCCAAGATGGCCCCCAGAGGTCCACCAGATGGCCCCAAGAGGTCCCCAGATGGCCCACAAGAGGTCCCCAGGAGGCACCACGAGGCCTCCAAGAGGCCCCCAAGATACCCCCAAGAGGTCCCCAAGAGGCCCCAAGAGGCGCCGAAGACGCCCCAAGAGGCCTCCGAGCGGCTTCCAAAAAACATATACTACTACTTCTTCTCCTACTACTACTACTACTACTACTACTACTACTACTACTACTCACTACTACCTACTACTACAACTACTACTACTACTACTACTACTACTACTACTACTACTACTACTACTACTACTACTACTACTACTACTACTACTGCTACTACTACTACTACTACTACTACTACTACTACTACTAACGACGACTACTACTACTACTACTACTACTACTACTACGACTTCCATATAGACCACTGCTCTAGTGACTGCCTCTGTTACTGAGACAACTAGTGCGACGACGATGTTGACGACTACGTTTGCTACTAAAGCTGGTACTGGATAATACTACTACTACTACTACTACTACTACTACTACTACTACTACTACTACTACTACTACTACTACTACTACTACTACTACTACTACTACTACTACTACTACTACTACTACTACTACTACTACTACTACTACTACTACTACTACTACTACTACTACTACTACTACTACTACTACTACTACTACTACTACTACTACTACTACTACCACTACCAGTACTACAACTACTCCTACTGGTACTACTTCTACTACAACTACTACTACTACTACTACTACTACTACTACTACTGCTACTCCTGCTACTATTGCTACTACTACTACTAGCACTACTACTTCTACGACGACGGCTACCGCTACTGCTACTGCTACTGCTACTGGTATTGCTCCTGTCAGTGCTATTCCTCGCACTGCTTTTCGGATTACTACTCCCACTACTCGCTTCAACAACTACTACTACAACTACTACAACTACTACAACTACGACTACGACTACGACTACTACTACTACTACTACTACTACTACTACTATTCCTCCTACTTCTACTAATACTATTACTAGTACTACTACCAGTACTACGACGATACCTACGTGTAGTATACCTAGAGCTACTACTACTACACCTCGACCTACTCCTACATCTACTTCAACTATAACCGCTACTACTAATATTCCAGTACTACTACTACTACCACTACTACAAGAACTACATTACAACAACTCCTACTACTACCACCGCTACTCCTCCTGCGAAGCATGCCGACCGTCGTCGGCGCCGACTGGGGCCCGAACGACTCACACCAGGACGAGAAACCCCAAACGACTCAAACCACGAGGAGCGCTTTCTCTCCCTCCTCCTCCGCCTCGTCCTTCTCCCGCTCCCACCACAAGGAGGATGTACAAGGAGGCGGGAGGAAGGAGGAAAAGGGGAGATATGCGGGGGCAGGCGGAAACACGCCTGAAAAACACGACTGTCGGCATGCTTCGCAAGAGTTGCTGTTTTGAGATGGGCTGGTGGGGATACGCGAAGCGTAAAGAATTTCTCCATAAGCAACATGACAGAAACACAAAGCGCTTCAAGAATGCCAATAAATCTTCCAACACTGCCAAACGTGTCCCCAAAAGTGCCCCACGGGCGGCTCCTTCACTTTCCAGCTCGGGGGGTCCAGATTGAAGCGACGCGATGACCGCAAACGATCGAAACAGCGGCGCTGCGGCCCTGCGAAGGTTGAACCCTGAGGAGCCTGATCCTACGGAGCCGACGAGTAGCAACTGCTCAACTAAAGGCCTCCAAGATGGGGTCCGAGTAGATGGGATCGGAGGATCTCGCCGCATCGCCGATACATCGCCGAGGCATCGCCGAGGCATCGCCGATGCATCGGCGATGCATCGGCCATGCATTTCCTACTTCGGCGATGCATCGGCGACGTCGGCGTGGAGAAAATGTGGCCCCACATCGAGCCGCATCGCCGATGCATCGCCGATGCATCGGCGATGCATCGGCGATGCGGCGCGATCCTCCGACCCCATCTGGTAGGCCCAGATCCAAAAGTGCGGACAACATACGCAGCCCGAAATTGCACTGGCCCTCGCCCGCGCACCCTGGAGGCACGCGACGCCCCCCGGAAGATCGGTCAGCCCTCGGGCACGGGGGAGGGGGTTTAGGAGCTGGATCCGTTGCCCTCGCTCGCACGACCACCTTCCCCTCTGCAGTCGGACCCAGGCCAGAAAAACGTCTCTCAAGTCGGGGATCTACTGACCCAGGGCAATCCAGACCCGGGTCAGTCAAGATTTGCAAGATCCTTCAAGATACTGCGTGATCCAGCAGGATCCTGCACCCAAGCCCGGGTGAGTGCGCCCCTGGCTATGCAGGATCCTGCAAGACCCAGCGCTCTGGCTGACCCCCGTTTGAGTGGACCCCCGTCTCAAAGGCTCCCGATCCAAGGAACACGAGACCCTCCGTCGGCAAGAAACACCCCAGACCAGAGAGTCGCTCGAGGGTACACTTTCCCAGGATGCACAAGAACACCCAACAAGCACAAAGAACACTGGGGCGACCTCCCCGAAGCGACCTCCATCCTCTGCCTCGGTCCGACGCTGCCCTGGCCTCTCGAGCGTGGGCGTCTCGGGACATCAGCGCCAGAACGAATCCCATGCTCACAACATGGCGAGTCAAGGGCGCTCCAAGAAGGAAGAATTGGGCGCCGCGTAATGGGGGGGTCATAAATGGGGGGGTGGCGAGGGTGGTTCGAAAAGGTACCCAAACGGTACCTAAACGAGCCCCCTGGGGCTCTGGTGAGGCCCGAAAGGGGCACGAAAGGGGACCTTTTCTGACCCCCCCATTTGTGACCCCCCCATTAAGCCACGCCCAAAAGAATCCGAGAAGGGACCTTCCGGGCTCAGATGGAGGAGGGGATCTCACTGGACCAGCGTTGCTGTCCCGAGACGCCCACGCCCGAGAGGCCAGGGTAGAGTCGGACCGAGGTAAACGATCGAAGTCGCTTCGGGGAGGTCGCCCTTGTGTTCTTCGTGCTTGTTGGGTGTTCTTGTGCATCCTGGGGGAGGGTACCCTCGAGTGAACCTATGGCGAGGAGGCAAGGGCGCTCCAAGAGGGATTCGAGAAGGAACCTTCTTGGCTCCAGCGGGGGAAAGGATCTCACTGGAGCCGTCCCCTCTCCGGATCGAGAGGAGGCCACCAGGCGACTGCGTCGGGGGGGGGTCCCCGAGGCAATGTTTTCTGCCTCGTGGAGACCAGATCTGACTTCTGCTCGTCGTTCTCTCCCTCCTCTGCCTCCTACTCCACCCTCCTCACTCCTCCTCCGCCTCCTCCTTTTCTTCCTCATCATTTCTCCTTTCCCCCCTCTTCCTGCTTCTCCTCTTCTTTTCTTATCCCTCCTCCCCCCTCTCCCTCCATCATCCTTTTACTCCGCCGCCTCGTCCCCGTAATTCGAAACCCCCTCGAGGGCAGCAATGACCCATGACTCCCACTCTCAAGCCTGCTCACGATGCCCCCCGAACTGTTCGCTGCGACGCCCACCCCCCCCTCCCTGACCCCCCCGCTGCTCCGCTGCGTGCTCCTGCGCCTGCCCCCGGTCCAGGCAGAGCTCGCCTGGGCACCGTCCCTGCACGGTCGCCCAACCTCCTCTTCAGACAAAGGGCGCCCGACTACTCGCAAAACACAGTGGAGGTCAGTCCACGAGACACCTTCCACAGGAAATCCAAGCCTGAGACCACAGGACGTCTGTCGCTTCCTGGCGTGAGAACGTCACGCTCTCCATCGCGAAGCCATTGAAGCCCAAGGAACCCAGGGCACCCTGCAGGCAATCAAGGCGTTTCTTGGCATGGGTCTCCGCTGTAACTGGTCGCAAATGGCCCAGGTCCGCCGCGCGGCATCTACGATCCATCAGACCGGGGCACGCGTGAGAGCCGATCCAACACTGGCCTTGCGCGATGTGGCCCTCTCGGCACGCCACTCTGGAGACGAGGGCGCTCACGTGCGACCTTGCGCGGGCAGCTTACGCGCCAACGTCGGCGCAATCGACCCTGTTTTTGCTGCGTCACTCATACGTGTTTTTTTTTGGTTCGGACGTTTACGAACAAATCTGGTGGAACTCACAGGAGCCTCCCATAGCATCCGGTCAGCTTCTGCGAATCCACGCTGATCGACGCTAGAATCTACGCTCATCGACGCTACACCGACGCTAGTCGACGCTAAATCAGCGCTACCTCATCGACTCCCAGACGCTAATCGACGCTGGCAACGGAATTCAGAGGGCATGCCAGGCTCCCATGATTTGCTACCGAAGATTAGGCACTTTGCGATCAATGGAACGCGCTCATTGGCTCGTCATCCGGTCGGCTCTTGCGAATCGACGCTACTCGGCGCTAGATTGACACTGATCGACGCAACATCGACACTGGTCGACGCTACATCGGCGCTATCTCATCGACTCCCAGACGCTGATCGACTCAATGATCGGCGGTGGACAAACCTCCCTTGAGTAAACCACCCTTTCGTGAAAACGGCCTGGGACCGAAACCGACGGACCCAGACCCGCAAAAAAGACGGCCGCGACGCCCTCTCGCGAACCGAAAACGGCCAACCGGGCAGGAGGTCCATATCAACCTCCGAGATGACGAGGACATGCCAGGCTCCCAAGCTTTGCTGCCGAAGAGCCGGCACTCTGCGAGCCGTGGCCACGCGCGCTCGGTGGCTCGTGGAGACGCCCCCGAGATGCGCGGGGCGCGTCTGGCAGCACTCGCGGCCGGCGGGCACCCTGAGGGGGGAGGCGGGCCCTGGAAACGGCAGGGCCGTTTCTGTTACCGGCTCCGTGTTGCCGTTTTAGTTGCCCGTTCCGACGCTGTTTGGGCTACCGATCCCGTCGCCGTTTGTTGTTACCTGGAGCCGTTGCTGTTGCCGTTTAAGATCTCCTTTTTTAGCCGTTTCCATTTTCAAGGGACACTTCTTGGGAAACGGTGAAAAAACGGCCCACGAGGGGTGGGGCGCCCCAGGCCGCAAAGAAGCACGGGCGCGGCCTGGCCCAGACGTCGCCCGCCTACGCACCGCGGGCAAGACTTCTGCACCATCGAGTCCGCACGTGCACTGAATACGGGTGGTGAGGCTGCAAGATGATGAACCAAAGAAGGACCCCTAGCCCTTTGGGAGGGGACCTAAGTTGGGAGGGCCCAAAACATGAGGGATAGGGGGCCTTTTTCTGCAGATGTCCCAAACCAAACCGCCCAGATGGATTACCCCTGCCAGTGAGGCCACGTCTTCACTATGCTATTAGGATTAATTAGGGGTTCTTTTCTCCTGGATGGCAAGACCCTTGGAGGCCGAAGTCGGGATTTTTGGGCGGCGGGCGACCAGTGAAAACGGCAACGCACGGGTCGCAGAGGCAAGGACACAAGGACACCCTAGATGTAGGCGCACGTCCTTACTGGGCGCGTTGACTGTATCCAGTGCGCCTTGGACTTTCTCTCGGATGGGGGCGTCGCAAGGCCGAGGCGCACTCGGTACAGATAAGAAATCTTGCATCTATGGGGCCATATGTTTGTCTACATCCAAGTTCGCCTCTGGTTTGTGGGGAAGGGGGCCCAAACCCCAAGCTGCAGCTTACTTACAAGCTGTTCATGTATAGCTTTACACAAGCTACGTAGCCCAAACAAACACTAGACTAATACGACTGTTTGATTTAGGATCTGGACACACACACACAAGTCTTGCCCGCACTCTTGGCCCAAAGAGGGCCCTGGTCCTACAGGTGTGGGGGCAGGCGCCAAGGCCGCATCGAGGGGGAGGGTTAGATGCTCGCTCTGGGGATCCTCCCGGAGCCACTCACTCCACATGTGCGTCGATGCTGCGTCGAACGTCTGTCAACCGGAGTCGAACCCGTGCGCCATGACAGGACTGCAGCTCTTGCTCCACCAGAAACGGGGAGGAGAAGCGGGGGGGGAGGGGGAGGGAGAGGGAGGCAGCAGGGGGAAAGGCAGGAGGGAGGAGGGATGGCGGAAAGACGAATGAGAGGCGCGAGGGGCAATCTTGGGCGAAAAACGTATCCATATCCGCGGGCACGGCCCTGGGCAGCGACCCCGCGCATACGGGGCGTCTTTGCGCAGATGCCCCGCGCGGAACGCATCCGTGCGACCGCGCATCCGCGGGATCGCAGCCCAGCGCCCAGACCGCGAGGGCGCGGATATGGATCCGTTCGCCGCTGGTGAGGCAAGGACCCACACAGTCGGCGCTCCAACCTTTCCGAAGCGTGCGCCCGGGATGCCTGGACCGCTTCCCCGCTTCCCAAGCAGAACTGCTTTTTGTCAGACGGTCCCAAGGGCCCGTGGAGAGGGCGCCGGAGGCCGCTCCACTCTTCTCCAGAGCCTCGGACATACATCGGCGACGACGACGACGACGGCGACATACATCGGCGACGACGACGACGACGACGACGACGACGACTACTCGGCCTCCGAAGGGAACGGAGAAGACGACGATACACCAGCGACGAGAAATTGGCGAGGACGACGACGACGACGACGACGGCAGCAAACAAAAGACCAGTCTGGGGCACCGAGAGGGTGCAGGGCGACCCCCACCCCGACGACCCCGCGGCCGGCCGAAGGGGCCCGCCCGGTGATGCGTGGCCGCCAGTCCACCATCAGCACCGTGAGGGCCCCGTTCTGGGCGCGCGGCGCCGCGGCCGTCGCCGCCGCCGCTGCCGTCGCCCAGACCCCCTCGCGTCGTGGAGAAAAACACGACGGGAACTCTGAACATTTCAGACGTTTTCGGCACCTGGGGGCCCTCGCTTTGCCCCGACACCGTCAGAAAACGATCTGAGATAAAAAGATGGTTCCAGGGTAGGATTCCAAACCTTTCCAGATCATTGGATACCAGATTTGTTCGATCACGATCAGTAGCAACCAAGCGGCACTTCAAATCGGTCGCGACCGATCGCGACAAGTTCCAAAATCGGTCGCGACAGGTTGCAACCAATCTTGGAGCAAATCGGTCGCGACCGATGCCGGAACGAGGAGCAAAGTCTGTAGCGACCGATATCGCTGGCCGCGACAAGGAACAAGCTGGCATCCAATCATAAGTTTTACGATGCTGCATGTTTGTTTGTGACGTCGGGTCTCAAGTAATCCGAGAGGGGATGAGCTTTGGAGCGGCCACACGCGCATTGAAGGGAGATGTGGGGCGGGGGAAACAACAAACAATCAACACGGTACAACCCTCGTCCCTCGCCTCCAGGTTTACTGCTTCTCCTATGTGATCCCCCCCTCGTCCTCCCAAACACCCCTCCTCCTCCTCCTCCTCCTCCTCCTCCTCCTACTCCTCCTCCTCTTCCTCCTGCTATTTCTCCTTCTCCTCCTCCGCCTCCTCCTCCTCCCCCTCCTTCTTTTCCTCCTCCCCTCCTCCTCCTCCTCCTCCTCCTCCTCCTCCTCGTAATCATCATCCATATCCTCCCCCTCCTCCTCCTCCTCCTCCTCCCCTCCTCCTCCTCCTCGTCCTCCTCCTCCTCCTCCTCCTCTCTCTCCTCCTCCTCCTCCTCCTCCTCCTCCTCCTCCTCCTCTTCCTCCTCTCCTCCTCCTCCTCATCCCCCTCCTCCTTCTTCTCATCCTCCTCCGCTCCTCCTCCTCCTACGCCTCCTCCTCCTCCGCCTCCTCCTCCCGTTCCTCCTCCTCCTTCTCCCGTTCCTCCTCCTCTTCCTCCTCCTCCTCCCCCTCGTCCGCCTCCTCTTTGCTTCCCTCATTATCCTCCTCGTCTCTTCTCCTGCTCATCCTGCCCTTCCTGCTCCTCCGTAGAAACCTCCGGATTCTCTGGCGCCTTGTCTCTACCGCTCGCTACCTGGGGCCACTGGAGCTCTCTCGGCCCTGCCCAGATCGAGCAAGAACCAGCCGAGGCCATCTTGTCTGACACGTCTGGAGGTCCAGGTCTGACCAGGATTCCCAAGCGGAACAACATGTGGGGGTCCATCAACAACGGGTCGCACGCGAGATGGCGTAGCGACATTTCGTAGTGGCTTACGCGGGCCACCAGCGCGGTACGTTGCATTTGCGACGAGGGCACTGAATTGCGCGCACCGTCACGCGGGCAACTTACGCGCCAACGTCTCTGCTGCAATCTTCGAGCCAAATCGCTTGAGATGATACCGGCCCGAAGCAAGGCGGCGAAAACGCCCAGTGTGACAAACAATGCACCGCCGAGATCGCCGTAAGCGGCGCGCCCAAGGTCAGAGCGAGAAGGGGCGGGACTTTTCTGAAGGCGGCGGGGCTTCTCAAAGCCCTGCGGCCTTCTGAGAAACTATACGGTGGAACGGACAAATAACACAAAACAACGCTCAGAACAGATAACACCGACTGACCCGCCAGACCCTTAACCGCGCGATACCAGATAGCACGCGCGTCCCCTCTGAGGACACACCATAGGGACAACGCTGAGGGGGACAAACACATAGCTCACGCCCAAGAGGAGGCATGGCGGGGGGGGGCGGGATGGCGCCGCCGCTCGTGAGCAATGGGGAGCACCCGAGCAATTCCGCGATGCCCCGAGGGGATGGGGCGCACCAGACAGATAGCAGAGTGCCCCGAGGGGGGGACGCCCTCGCTCCTCCTCTTCCTCCTCCTCCTCCTGCTGCTCCTTCTCATCGCTCCTCCCCCTCCTCCTCCTCCTCCTCCTCCTCCTCCTCCTCCTCCTTCTCCTGCTGCTCCTCGTGCTGCTCCCCCTCGTCGCTCGACGCGGGGCAACAACCGCCCACAATGTATTTTTCATGAGGATGCCATTCCCTCCTCGTGCTCCTCGTTCTCCTCCTGCTGCTCTCGTGCTCCTCGTGATCCTCCTCCTCCTCCTCTTCCGCCTCCTCCTCCTCGAGTCCCACAAAACACAGAGGCCCACGAAACGGCAGCACGTCTGCAAGAGGGAAAGGGGGGCAGCATCCGAACGCGGGCCAGAGCCCAAGAGGGTCTCTCTGGGCGCCACTCACTGGGCTCACCAATCGGCGGTGGACAAACCTCCCTTTAGTAGACATCCCCTTAGTGAAAACGGCCTGGGACCGAAATCGACGGACCTGGACCCGCAAAAATGACGGCCGCGACGCCCTCTCGCGAAACGAAAACGGCCAATTCATAATCGACGTGTCAGGGTAGGAGGTCTGTCCAACCCCGAACCAAGGCCCCAGGGGGCGCCCCCGGGACGCACAATAAGCTTCAAGAGGCCCCCGGGGCCGCCAAGACACCCCAAAGACACCCCGAGTGGCCTACGTCTAACCAGCTATCGAGGGACATCCGAAAAGACTCCGAGAAGCAACCAAGAGGCCTACACACGTACGCATCCAAAGACTGCGCGGACGCTGGCCCTGCACAGGGCGCGGGGCGAAAACCAAAATGGCCCTCATGACTGCCCAAGAGGTCCCAAACACGGCCCAAGAGGGTTCCAAGACGACCCCTCCCAGGGGCGCAGCAGAAAGATAGCACACGCCCCGACGGGGCACACCGAATGGGGGTTGTTTTCCCATGCACGCGGGTCAGGCAGATGGCACACGCAATTCAGACTTTTACGAGTGATGTCTGAACGTTCCCCCGTATAGCTGTCCATGTCTTCGGAGGCAGCCCGTAGGCCTTCCGAGCCGGAGGGCCTCCGTCTCAGGGCTTCTGAGCCTCCAGAGTTGAGAAGTTCCCTTATCGTAGGAACTTGACATGCTCATATCTCAACATAAAACACTTTTTAAACACTGTTTAAACACTTCTGAAAAAAAAAAAAAAAAAAATGGAACATGCACGAAAAAATCGATTTTGCGATCGCTGCCACTACGCTGTCATTTGACAAGGATGTTCTACGTGATCGCACGCCAAGCGCCGCCCCACAAACTGCGCGGCGTGCGCCCATCGGCACGCGCGAAGCAACGACCGCGTGGTCCAAATACCACAATGGCAAACGCTGGCGCTGGGCGCGACGAGGCATGGCGGCCCAATCTGCATCGGTGGCCAAAGCTGTCGCAGTAATGCGCAAGTTTTCGAGCGCGCACATCGGTCCTTCGCGCTGCGGGTTGAGGAGCGGCCGCAACGCGGCTCACTCTGGTTCGGCGAATTGCCCGCGCGACGCGTCTTCAACCGCGCGCGCGCTGCCGTCCACGCCAGCACAAAAGGGTCTACCGCGGCGCAGGTTACCAACCTTTGCACCGCACAACGGCGCCATACAAACACAGGGTTCGAGGCGGCCCAAAAACCCCGTGGGCGTTGGAACAAACGTAGAAGCTTACACGGGACAGCGCGAGGTGTGATTGCATTTGATCAGTAACCACCTATCGGATCTCATCGCGGGCGCGCAACGGCGCCCCGCGACGACGGCCGCGGGGCGCCAAGGAGCTAGGCCCCCGTTGGGGCGTCGGACGCACGCCCGCGACAACGCGGGGAAACTCATGATTCGCAAAGGCGGCGCCTCTCGTACGAGGCGGCGCTATCGCGTTGAGGACAAGCCCAGGCGCGTTCGGCGGGGCGCCGAAGCGCCAGGAGGCATTGCCAAGATGCGACCCACAAGGTCGCAATCCAACAGATCGGTGCTTCACGTGCGGATCCCGCACTTGCGGTCGGACCGCATCGGGTCGCCGCGGGGCCCCCCGTGCGTGCATTCTTTACGTTCGAGCCAGCGGCGGGAGACCAATCGCCTTGACCAACAAGGCGACGGGGTTTCCCAAGGAGTGGGAGGGGGAGGGATGGGGGAGGGCAGGTTAAAGGGCAGCACAGTGGCGACAGGTGGCCGAAGAGCCCTGCCTGCGCGGGCGGGCCACTCTTCGCGGCGACGGCTGCAGAGAGAGACAGGGAGCAGGAAGAGAAAGAGAATATAGACAAGAGAAAGAGGGCAGCTAGCTCAGCAGAGCGCCCTCCCTGAGCGGAGACGCCGAGAGGCATCTCGAACGTCGGGAGGCTGTCCATCGGAGCTGAATGAAGTGGAACTTCTCGCGCTCAGCGGCCTGCCCTCCCCCCCCCCCCCCATTTTATGATGAAAGATTGGTGGATGATGATGGTCGTCGGCCAATTCGGCCGTTGCACGGCCCACGGCTTGGCCCAGCGGCCACGCGCTAAGTTGCAGCGGGGCACGGGCCGTGGCCCTTTGCCCCGCTATATCAGCCACGCGCCCCAGGCCCTGCCTTGGAGCAGGGGATTGGGGGGGCGCAGGCAAAGGTGGGGCCCTCTGCCGTGGCAGAGCCCGCGGCGCGGCCGAGCGCCGATTAAGTCTACTGAATCAAGGCCCACGGCGTGGCCCAGCGTGGACCCGTTTAGTTGCAGCAAGCCCACTTCGCGGCCCAAACAGCTGCAACCCAGCACCAACGCAGACGCCCCCACTATGCCGCATGTGGCTGCGCGGGGGGCGCGCAGATAATCAGATAAACCCTTTGAGCCGAGGCATCGGAAGAGAAGGAGGAGGAGGGAAGGAGCCAATACTTGGCCCTATACAGGATGCCAAGAAATATCCGAAAAAGGCACACCCCTCACGCGGATCACGGGGTCTAAGCGAACAGGGACTGGGCTCTGGCACAGAGGCCCCATGGGCCCTGGAAGGCCGAGGACCCCAATGGACCCGCACGGCAGAGCAGACCAGCACGGCAGACCAACAGGGCAGACCAACAAAGCAGACCAACATGGCAACCCAAAGCAGCAGACCGACACGGCAGACCAGCATTGCAGAGCAGCAGGGCAAACCAGCACGGCAAACCAAGCGGGCACAGCAGGAGCCCAGCGTGCCCAAGACGCCCCCAAGGAGCTCAAAGAATACCCAAGACAGGCGCACCCCTCACGCGGATCACGGGGTCGAGGCGAACAAGGGGTTAGGACGGGCAGTCACCACCTTAGCACCCCCCCCAAGCCACTTGGGCTCGAGGGGAGAAAGGTCGTGACCTTCGCCCCCGCCCGTGGGAGCCCCCATTCGCCCGCGAACAAGGGGTTAGGACGGGCAGTCACCACCCTAGCACCCCCTCCCAGCCTTTGGGGCTGGAAGGGGGGAGGGGTCGTGACCTTCGCCCCCGCCCGTGGGAGCCCCCATTCGCGGACCCCTCCAACCCTTTGAGATCAAACAGGCGGCAAGCGGAAGCCTCGGGTGAATGCCACAGATGTCCATAGAGGCCCCAAGACGCCCATACGGGCCCCAAGACGCCTTAAGACTGCTCCTGAGTGCCTAAAGCTTACGTATAACCCAATACATACATACCTAGCCCAAAGTTGCCCAAGATTGCGCCAAGCCAAGAGCCCCAAGATGACACCAAGACTGCCTTGAGATGCCAAGACATACACACCTAACCCAAAACGTGCAGAGACCAAGACATACATACCCCCTAGCCATTACATACGTAAACTAACTAACCCAAGACACGCCTTTGATCTACCTACGCAGGGACGGGGGGATGAGGAGGGAGGGAGGGAGGGAGGGATGGGAGGGAGGGAGCGGTGGTGGTGTGATGGTGGTGATGAACATGAAGGCGGTGCGCGTGGTGATGGTGATGAGATGATGATTGTGATGGTGGTGCCGGTGGTGGTGATGATGAATGATAAGTGTGATGGTGAGGTGATGGTTGTGTGGTTGTGATGGCGATGGCAATGATGATGTTGTGGTGATGAATGGTGAATGGCGGTGGGTGGTGATGATGATGAGCGTGATTGTGTGATGATGGCGGTGGCCATCTCGTGTTGGGATGAGTCATGGTGGTTGCGACCATGACGTTTGTCATATTTTTCGCCACCGAGCCCACCTCGACAGGAACGAGGTGGGCGACACCAAACTTCTCGCCATTGTCATCGCGTGGCTTAGAGCAAGAATGCAATCGCTTTATCCACAACCGCCTGCAGCTTGGGATCGACCAGCTCCCAATGCTTGCTCTTCTTGAGGGCGCCCTTCTCCCTGTTGAGCGCGGTCTTGAGCTTCGTGTCCTGGCCGTGGTACTTGACGAGCAGCGCCGCCAGCACGCACTCTTTGCAAGTGAGCTGCATGCCATCGCAGAGCTTCGTGTAATCCTTCTCGAGCGTGTCGTCAACCTGGATGTCGTAGTACTCGCGAGTGAACTTCAATGTCTGCAACTTCGCACCCAACTCAGCGCACGCCTTGTTGTATGAGTCCACCTTAAGTACCATGAGCGACTTCTTCGCAATGGCGATGATCTCCTCGATGGTGCCCGTCTTGAGTGCGTCACTCCACTTCTCGTGGCTGGGCTCCAGCAGGATACCACGAGCCACCATTTTGACACTCTCCGAGGGCGGCGAGTCCTTGTCGTACGGGGCGTCGACAAACGTAGCAATCGTCTCCTTCATGGAGTTGTACAAGCACGGTGCATGGTCAGCCACGAACTGCTTCGTGTCCTCGAGGTGCTTATCGCTAACAGCAGGCAAACTGACTTCGCTTTGGCCCCCAACCTTTACCTTCAATGCCGTCAATGTTTTGGCCATTCCTGCGACGGACTGAAGTAGCTCCTGGCAGCGGTCGTCCTTCATCCTGTCCGCCACGTTACCACCCGCGTCGATGATCTCCGCCTTCTTGGATACCAACTGCACCATATCATCGACAAACTTAGATACCCAGTGCAACTCTGCCTTCTCCTCGCCGCTCTTCGGTACGAACTCCGACAGCTTGTCAATCACCGAGGGTAACTGGGCCTCCTTGCACGTCATAGTACCTGGCTTCACCTCGAACGTAACGGCGCCGATGATCTCTTGGATGACACGCTTGACATCTTTGGAGAGCTCTTCGCTGTAGAGGTCGGACACGTCGGAGGACGTGAGAACGGATAGCAGTTTCGCCGCCAACTCGTCGAGCTTCTCCTCATCGTTGACAATATCACTACCCTTTACCTTGTTCATGAACGGCTTCAACATCTCACGGGACATCGCTGCGCCAGCGCGTGCCCCACTATCGTGCGTCATCTCTGCGGCTGCATCCCAAGACGCCTTCATCTTCAACCCCGATTTCCGCAAGGCATCGAAGAACAGCCTGTAAGTATCCACGACGTGCATCGTGCCCTGCAAAGATGGGACGCTGTTGAGGTTGTACTCCTGCGACTCGCCCTTCTGCACGCTGCTCAGAAGTTGCGCCCCCCGGTCGGCAATGCTGGACAACGTAGACTCCCACTGAGACACAGTCCCTCCACGGTCCGTCCCATGGGAACTCTGAGGCTGTATGGGGGCTCTGCGATTACGCTGTCTTCCAAAACCCAATCTGTCACCCCCTCATCCGTCCATTGCTTCGTTTTGGACAGTGTGGGACCCCGTTTGCTGGGCTGCAAGATAACCTCCAATCAAAAACATACACCACAAAGAACAGGAGGGGACCAAAGGCGCACATCAAGAAACGAAAACGCGCTCACTCTTACCGAAAAAGCCCCCATGCGCTGGGCTAGGCCAGACGATGCAATGTTATGGCGTTGGATCACCCAAAAGCTTTACATGGAACTGCGAAGCTCATAAGACTGGATTTGCTGGTATCCCTGGAATTTCCAAGAGCTGGACTTGCTGAGGTCTCTGGACTCACAAGAGGCTGAGCAGGCACCGAACGCTAGACGAATCAGGCCCAAAGTTCCCTTACGACCCTACTGACTGAGCCCCCCATGGACAGGCCGAATCTCCTGCGCGCGTGTTTTTCTTGATGGTGGAGAAATCCGCCAAGGCCCTCGCGTGCCCCTCGACCTTGCCGACTTCGGTGGGGCACAAGTTGATATTGTCCAGGTGCTCTGCCATCTTCAACGCGCTGTCAGCGTGCGTGGCCCTGGTCATACGGAAAGAGACGATGTAAACTTTGAAGTACGACAGGTCCTTCAGCAGAGCCCAGGTGTTGTGGGCGACGCCCTGCCAAGTTCCTCCTGAAGTATCTGTTGCCGTGGCCGCCGAGACTGCCTCAAGCGCCTTGGCCAGCATTGCATTCTGTGGGGCCAAGAGGCTCCGAATCGCGCGCGAAGATTTCACCACTTCAGAAATAGAGTTCACGATAGCCTCATCGGTATCTGAGGGCTGGTTCAACATGTGCTTTTCTCCTTCTGCAAGAATGTCCATCATCTTCTGCTGGGTGTTGTTGTCGGTGGCACGCGCAATCGGCGCGATGAAATAAGTGAAACACCACTTCTCGAAGTTCGTAGTAACGACTCCCGTCCCGGACGGGATCATGAATGCCATAGGGTGCAGAGGGTTGAACTCCGAGTCTTGGTCGATGGGCTGGTCCTCCACGTCGTCGGCCTGATGACGACCACGGCCAATGACAGTTGACAACGGCAGGCGCACCTCCTCCTCGCTCTCCTCCCTCCTCCACATCCTCCTCCTCCTCCTCCTCATTCTGCTCCTCCCCTGCATCCTCCTCCACCTCCCCCTCTCCTCGTTCTCTGGTCACCCTGGTCCTCCTCCTCGCCATCATCTTCTTCCTCCTCTTCCAACGCAAGACTGGACGACTAGTGACTAGACTGGCAATGGGCCTCCGCATCCACCGCCGAGACGTCCCACGGCAGGCCGACGCGGAAAAAGTCCTCGATGTTGACCCCATCCGCGACGACCTGCTCGCCGATCTCCCGCAGCTCCCTGGCCACCAGGTTCCCAGCCAACGTCACAGGGAAGTTCATGTCCGCAGCCACCAAATCTTGAATCTTCTTCTCTAGGACTTGCTTCTCCCAGGCCATGATGTTTTCCACCTTGGAGCAATCCTCGGCGATATCTGCGAGCTCCAGCCGCTTAGTGAAGCGAGCAGCATCAATCCGCTTGTTCTTGTTGTCGCTGCTCGACATCTCGTCGCGCAGCTTCTCCATCCTGACGCGCCTGTGCCCGAAACGCTTTGCACCTGCTGCAATCACGGCGAGGTTGATGCCGTCGATCCGCGCGGTTGCACTGTCCGCCTTTTGTCCTAAACCAGTTTCCGACGCGGCGTCGTCAAACGCCTGCAGCTGCTCGGCGCCAAGCGCCATGTGAACCTTCAGGGCGATCCAATTGCCCCTCAGGTGAAGCTTGATCGGGGGAATGAGGAGGAGGCAGGGGGTGGAGGAGGAGGAGGAGAGTAGTACTTAGAAGGGGGTGAACGAGTAGAAGGAGGATGAGAGGAGGTGACATCAGGAAGAGGAGAAGGAACAAGTGGAGGAGGAGGAGAAGGATCACTCGGAGGAGGAGAGGAAGGATGGGGAGGGAGAAGAGGGTTGGGAGGATGCCAAATCCCGACCAATGCTTGACTTGAGGGGCAAAGGTGCGCCCTTTGAGACCGCCGTCGCTACCTTCTTCACCGTGTAAATCGCGACGTTGTCTACCACGAGCTGGTTCGAGAAGCCCCTGATCGCAGGCGACTGCGCGATGGACCCCTCGCCGCCAGCCTCGCTCTTGGCGGCGCCAGGAACCGCATCATCCTCATCCTGTTGGTCATCATCTCCTGCAAGGTCCTCATCTTCCTCTGCAGGCACTTCGACTCCTCCAGCCTCGATGTGGGCCTTGATATCCTCGTGCGTGTCGGAGCAAAGGCGGAGCTTCCTGGCCTCATCGCACTCGAGGCCTGATGGGCGATTCATCTCATCGAAGTACTCGCGAGCCTGGGCCTGTCGCCGCTGCTGCGAATGGTGGAGCTTGAACTCTGTCTCGCTCGTCTCGATTTCAAAGCTCATCTCGTACTCGATGCCAATAGACGGGTCGATCTGCGTGCTGTCCTTCAGCAGCACGCCCTTGCACTTCTCGTTCGTGTGGGGGTCAAACAAGTCCTGAAGTTTACGACCCGCCTCGACAGGGGATTTCTTGAAGATCCGTTCGAACTCGGTTGGGCGGAGACCTCGATACCGCGAGATGGCCTTGAAGGAACGCTTCTCACTGCGGCACACGTTGGACGGGTAGAAAAGCTGCAGGCGTTTCTTCCTCAAGCGAAGCGAAATGGAGAAGTCAGTGTCGAAGTCCTTATCACCGTTGCACTTCTGGAGCACTTCCTGCGGTGTACCTACGTTCTCGTACCCAAACCAGCAGTGGTCTTGGCAGTCTCCGCAGATGGGCCCTGTGGGTTTCGAGAGCCAGGTCCCATCTTTGGCTTTACTCTCTTCGTAAGCGCCCCACTTCTCGACCTTGTCTGGCGTTGTGGAGCAGGACTTGCGCATGCACTTGACGGAGCCCAGGAGCTTGATACCTTGCTTTGCTGCCGCGCGAAAAGCCTGTGAAAGCTTCATGGGCTGGTCGGGCTTACGTTTCAAGACGCCCTTCTTGACGCCTTTCACCTCAGAACTCTTGGCGCTGCCTCTGGCCGACCCTGCATTGGACGCTGTAGCCACGGAGAAGCACGCCTCAGATGACGCTCGACCGCACCTGGCAGCTTTCGCAGGAGGCGTCTGGAGAATGGCAGAGGGATCGCCACGCTTCCTGGACATTGGCTGACAAGTGACAAGTTACAGTACAGAAGCTGCGGTGGTGGTGACTGGTAAAACGAAGTACAAGGGCGATCCTCCACGTGCAGCTGTGCTGACCGCTGGGTCTGCAGCACGAACGCCTCGATGCAAAAATGTCTGACGATCAACAACTGAAGCTGAAATGTGAAGCGTGGGAGCACACTTGTGATGTCTGCGGGCGTGCCGCGAGCCAGTCCAAGACGACCCAAAGGCTCCCCAAAAGTGACCCAAAGAGATCATATCTGCTACACCGACGTCACTCCAGGATACAAACATGTATTGCCATAGAAGCTTTTCACCAGAATCAAGATCGGCAGACTGTCACACCCGCCTGGCCGCTTATGGGCGGGCCCAGCCATGAGGCCAGGCAAGATGCTCAATGCATGCTGCTGTTTGCAACGTGCTGAAAACAAAAAAACTGCTGAGCTGGGGTCACCGCCATCAGCCGTCATCGTCATCATCATGATTACACTTCACATGCACCTCCAGAATACCTGCATGACTACTACACTGACCTACTGCTGAGGCAATGGCTGCGTGGCGCCCGCAAACGGGGTCACCGACGCCGGCAACAAAGACCCTGTGCTGGACGAACTGTTCAATCCAGGTGCTGGACGACGAGGGCCACGAAGACACTGTGAGTTCAACAAAGATTCGATGACGCCAATCTTATCCTTCATCTCTTTCAAATCTGACTCGATGCCAATGATCTTGCTCACCATCTCCTCGCGCATGCTGGTCTGCATGGTCTCGATGTTGATTATCTTGGCCATCATCTCCTCCTGCTGTTCCTGCGCTTCTGTGATCGCTGGGGCCACCACATCCTCGTGAGTGTTCTTCAGCATCTCCATGGTCTTGGCCATCGGGATCAAAGTGTCCTCCTGCAAGGTCTTCAGGTGCGCCACGGAGTTGGCCAATGACCAGCGAGGTGACTCTTGCAACTCACCTGAGCTGCTCGGCAATCCTGGCGGCAATGCGACTTGCGACGCGACTGTGTCGGACCCTTTCCCCATCTGGAAAACTGGCACTGCTCCATGTCCTTTCTGTCCGTGATGTACTCCGCTTGCGTTTCCCTGATGTCCTTGCTGTACTGCGTTGCCGCCTCCATGCTGTACTTGGTGCCCTCCGCCGTCGTGCTGCCATTTCTGACTTGACCAGATCGGGGGTTCGTCGTCGGTCGGAGGAGAATCAGTCCAATATCTCTGATTGACCCTGCGGGATTCCCAAATCAGATCACCTGCGCGTGCCGTCCTGCGAACGGGGCCAGTGGAAGTTCCATAGCACCACGTTTTAGCCTTGTCCAAGTGAGAAGAGTTGACCAGGTGCTGCGCGTTCTGTAGCCACTTGTCGCACGCGAGACACTTCCAGTATCCCTCGCGTTTCCCAAGGTATGGAGTAACTACCTCCACATCGGAACCCGCGAACTTACACAGCTCGGGTGGCTCATCCTGGCCGCGCCAGGCCATGGCCAACGGCTGCGCGGGTTGGCGCGTGGGCACAGTTTCTTGGAAACAGAACCCAAAACGCTGAATGAGCTCGCGTCGCCGATCATCGGCTCAGGCCGCGAAGCGCGAGGTACGATTATGCAATCGATCTCAATGTCGCTCTCACTGCGTCGTTATCGATCTCACTATCTTACTTTGGTCACGCAGGGCAACGAGGACGAGGCCCACAGAAGAGACAGTGGGGCCCACTTCCTGGGCATAGAGGGAGGCACATCTTCAAATATTGCCCCCCACCCGCTGGCAACTACTTAGGGGGCATTTGGAGGAGGGACCCAGAGGGAGGAGCCTTGACGGCAAGGCCCATATGTGGGGCCACACTAGACAACAAAGAAAAAGCCCACAAACAAAACAAGGGGCCCACATCATAGAGGGCGGCTCATTTTCAAAACTTGGCTCCCGCACACTGGACACTCCTTAGGTGACCTCATGATGAGGAAACCAAGAGGGAGGCGCCTTGACGGCAAGGCCTACAGCTACAGGTGGGGGCCACACAAGGCACCAATGAGGAGGCCCACAAAGCAAGTTCCAAGGGGTCCACATCCTATGCTCTAGACATAGAGGGCGCCACATATTCAAAGCTTGGCTCCCGCCCGTTGGCAACTCGTTTGGGGATCTCTGGTGGGGAAAGCCAGAGGGAGGCGCCTTGACGGCGAGGCCCAGAGGTGGTGGTCACACAAGGCAACAAGGAGGAGACCCACAAACAAACCTAAAGGGGTCAACGTCCTACCTAGGCATTGAGGACGGTTCGAATTCAAACATGAGCCCTCGGTCGCTCCGACCAACCAGAGCACGTTCAGCGTATTTACGCATATGTGAATGATCAGATGCGGCGCTCTTCCACAACGCCCGTTGCCCATCTGTCATCCCGAAGTGTCCTTTAGGATTCCTTAGGTACCCTGAAAAATCCTGACATATTCCTACATATTACAAAGGAACCCTGATGACCCAATCGGATTTTCAAGGATTCCTGAAAGCTTCCTGGGGCCTCATGAGGATTATGCCGAAGCCCCCCGAATCCGTAAGGGTTCGTAAGGATTTCTCTCCATTCTTCAAGCGAAGTGCAGACTCCTGAGGACCGAGGACCCCATGGGATTCCTAAGGAGCAAGGAAATTATTACAAACGCGCTTTTCATATTTGTCAGTAGCCGTAAGGGATCCTAAGGCTTCAAAAGGGCTACCACGGATTCCTGAGGATCCCCAAAGACCTTGAGGAACTCCTACGAAGTCCTGAAGACCCCCAAGACTCTGGAAGGATTCCTAAGGATGCCTAAGGATGCCTAAAAGCCCCGCAGGAGTCCTACGGCTTCTATATCTATATAAGGATCCATGCGGAACCCACAGAGTCCGAAGGATGCTTCAGGTGACCCTAAGCAGTATTATTTATAATAGAAGGCGCACCATGATCTTGAGGAGCCCTTCAGAAATTATGCGGAGCCCTACGGCTTCTAAGTTCTAAGGTCCAAAGGCGCCCAACGGGTTCCAGATGATGCCTGGGGACACCCAGGATCCTAGCGATTACCATGGGCGCCGAAAAGTTCCAAAACATTCCTCAGGATTGTTAAGGATTCCTCGGGGACCCAAACAAGGTCTAAAGGATTCCTGAGGAAGCTTAAAGGTCCTAAAAACTTCTCTGGGCCCCTGAGACGTCTTAAGAATTCCTACGTATCCCTGCGGTTCCTGCATGTTCCTAGGGGTTCCTGATGGGCCCAGAAGATTCCTAAGGCTCCCCAACGACTCCTAAAACTTCCCAAGTGCGCCTGACAGCTCCAACAGAATTCACAGGGGCCTTAAGGAACCTAAGATTTCCTAATTCATTGGCCCCAAATAGTTCCAGGCTCTAAGTGGTCCCTTAAGAGTCCTGAGGAAACTTCAGGGTTCCTAAATCCTAAGAGCTTGGGGGGGGGGGGGCTTGGGGGTGGTTTGGAGGTGGCTTGGTGGTGGCTCGGTGTGGCTTGGAGGAGGCTTGGGGGTGGCTGGGGGTGGTGGTTTGGTGGTGGCCTCGGGGTGGCGTGGGGGTGGCTTGGGGTGGCTTTGGGGTGGCTTGGTGGTGGCTTGGTTGGGGTGGCTTGGGGTGGCTTGGAGGTGGCTTGGTGGTGGCGCGGGGGTGGCTTGGGGCGTGACTCGGGAGCGGCTAGCGGTACTTCGCGGCCCTCGGCGCCTCGGCTCGCAGCCCCCGAAAGGCGCGATGTAAAGCGTTTAGCGGTGCTTCGCGGCCCTCGGCACCTCGGCGCGAACCCCCGAGGAGCGCGAAGTACCCTGTATAGCGGTGCGTCGCGGCCCGCGGCGCTTCGGCGCGAAGCCCCCGAGGGGCGCGATGTAGAGCGCTGCGGCCCTCGGCGCCCTTAGCGCCTGGGCGCGAAGCCCCCGTGAGGCGCGACGTACTGCGCGCGGCCCTCGGCACCTCGGCGCGAAACCCCGAGGGGCGCGAAGTACAACGTTTAAAGTCTAGCGGTACGCTCGTGGGCCGCGCCTCTCCCACCCCACCCCCCGCACGCACTCCCCCCGCGCTCCACCCGCGCCCGCGCCGCCCCCCACGCCCCCAGACCGCGCCACTCCCCCACCCACCCCCACCACCACCACCACCGCTCCCGACACCCAACCCTACGCGCGCAATTGCCTGCGTATACACTGCCTGGTGGCAGAGCACCCAGCCTATTCACACCGATGTCGCTATCTGACGAGCAGATATGGTCCGCTCACGGGCGCAACCCGCGGCGCCCGCGCGCGGCGCGGCGCGGGGGGGGGGGTGGATTGACGTTTTCGGAGCACTTTTTCTGGTAAGCTGTGTTGTGTTATACTTAGACCACGCTGCGATCGCCAGTGACCTGGGCTGAAAAATGCCGAAGGGAAAAAAAATCGGCAGTTGCCTGGGCTGAAAAATGCCTAAGGGAAAAATTATCGATTTCAACATGGGCCGCTCAGGAATTCGGAAAAAAAAAAAAAAAACGGATTTTCCATTGTTAAATGGAAATTTCCATTTGTTTATCGGATTTTCCATTTTTTTTTCGGATGGAAATCGGGCAGCGATTTTGCCCCGACCACCGGTCGATCCCTGGTGATGGGGGCGGGCGGAGCCCCCCTTGGTCGGCCGATCGCTGGTGATGGGAGCGGGCGGTGCCCCCATTGGTCGGTCGATCCCTGGCGATCGGAGCGGGCGGTGGCCCCATTGGTCGGCCGACCACTGGCGATCGGAGCGGCTGTGGCCTCAATACGCCTACCTGAGTCAGGCAAACTGGGCCAGCGATGGCCTGCAACTGGCCAAAGGCGGGCCCATCTGTTACGCACAGTGCACCGCTGATGGATAATGAGCGCGGGCACGTGGCGCCGCAGATGCACGCGCACAGTCGGGCGAGGCGCCC